CGAACCACCTAGTAACAGTTTCTCTGACTTTCAAGTTTGGTTCACAACAAACGGTGTGCAGCATATTATTCCATTGTACTATGACTTTTATCTCGAATTGTCTTTCATATACAACTACGGAAAAGTGCTGAAAAAGTATTGAAAAATGAGTTTTGGTTAGATGTTTTTTTAGGTGTGCCTATGTGCCCATGTGCCTCGGTCATTTTAACTTCTCTGAAAAAGTGTGACAACACGACATTTTGACAACATCGTAGAAAACACGCAAAACTCTTGAATTTTGTATAAAAAAAGCAACCCGCGGAATTCCGGCGGTTGGTATATTCTTCACAAAATGCTTGTTTTGAGGTTAAGCCACAAACGAATGTCCGACGGTTAAGCCACAAACGGATGTCCGACGGTTAAGCCACCCAAAAATATTTTTTATTTTTATTGTACGTACTGAAAATGACAGTCGAAGCAAAAACGTTCACGAACAAATCTAATGGCGAAACATTCACAAAAGGCACTTACAACGGTATTGAAGTCTTACGTAGAGACAAGGATGGTTATATAAATGCAACAAAGATATGTCAGCAGTTTGGGAAAGACTTTAGAAGGTTGTTGGAAAATAAGTCCTGGGAAGAGTATTATACGGCATTTTGTGAAATATACCAACCCGCGGAATTCCGCGGGTTGCTTTTTATATAAAATTCATGCAGGAATTCCGGATGAAATCAAACAGGTTAGAGGAATGTATGTAGACCCAAGACTCGTAAACTATATAGCAATGTGGGCTTCTCCAAAATATTGTATAGCAGTTGGAAAAATTCTGGACTTCATAGACAAGAAAGTTCATGAGAAATTAGATGAAGAAGAACTTGAAGATACAGTAGAGAATGCAAAACCTTTGTTCGAACAAGAAGTTAGAAAAATGCATGAAAAACAAATAGAACATGAACGTGAGATATGTTCTGGTTATAGAGATTCTCCATACGAACTAGACCAATGGGAACAAGAAGATTTAAAGAGAGAATTTAGAGAATATGAACTCGCTAAAATTTCATTAGAAGCTGCAGAAGAGAGGTTAAAAGTTTGGGGTCGTTTTGTACAAAAATATTGTGAGTAAATGAACCATTTTTTTTATTGAATTCGGCAAAAATATATTTTAGGTGAAGTGGTGAGATCTCAGAACTAGTCTTGTACTGTTTTTTCAACCAAAACTCTTGAATTTTGTATAAAAAAAGCAACCGCCGGAATTCCGCGGGTTGGTATATTCTTCACAAAATGCTTGTTTTGAGGTCGAGCCATTTTTGGCCCCACCGTATTTTTCAACCAAAACTCTTGAATTCGGCAAAAATATATTTTAGGTGGAACCAGGTCACCAGGTCACCAGGTAATTTTAACTTCTCTGAAAAAGCGAGACAACACGACATTTTGACAACATCGTAGAAAACACGCAAAACTCTTGAATTTTGTGCTGAAAAAGCAACCGCCGGAATTCCGGCGGTTGGTATATTCTTCACAAAATGCTTGTTTTGAGGTCGAGCCATTTTTGGCCCCACCGTATTTTTCAACCAAAACTCTTGAATTTTGTGCTGAAATAAAAAAAGTTAGTTTTTTTAAAAAAAAATATTTTTTATTTTTATTGTAAGAACATGTTAGCAACAACAGCACCAAACTCGTTAGTCATGAACCCAACTTCAATGTTAGTAGAGATGAAAAGCTTCATTCCTTCTTCATATACTTTCGAAACAGAAATCCAGAAGATAAAGCAAGAACTTCTCCAAGGAGATCTCACCTGTAGTGCGAAAGATGAAACAAATGAACAGTATCTTTATGAAATGCAGGACCTCATCGACCATCTACCTAAACTTCCTGAAATACAACAACAAAAGCTCACTATTCCAGAATTCGATGAAATAGAAGTCAAAGCAACTGACTCAGTTGAAATTAAGAAGTTCATACGTAATGTAAACTATGAGTTTCTTGGATTTCATTGCAACCACAAAGACTGCGATATGGTATATTTCATGGACATATATAAATCGGAGGAGTTTAAGACCTACGACAACTTTGTTTCGTTAGTTGCTGAGTGTGTCTTGCAGATAAGAGGTGAGGATAGAAGAGGTAAAGTATGGAACGGACAAATAAAACCAGCAGCCTTTGAGTTAAAGAAAACCATTTACGCCTTAGTCATACTTGCAGGTAAGGTTTCAGAATATAACGCAAAAATGAACCCACAATGTTCTAAATGTAAAGCAGCAACAAGGAAATATAACTACTCCGTCAAAGAGATAGAACGTATGAGAAAAGACTATGCTGACTTAAAGAAAGAAGCAGAGAAACCAGCAGAGGATAAAATGGACATGTTGACATTTCTGAACAAAAACTATCCAACAGCTGACGATTTCCTTCTTTCAGATGTCAAGAAGAAATATAAAGAAACCTTCGGCATTGTTAAAACATTCGATGTACTGACAGAAGAAATAGAAGCTACAAAACTGTTTAGGATTTCAAATATACATCGTACATACCATGTAAAACGCTTATGAAACTTTATGGTAGAAATATATTTTTGCCTGATTTACACTCATGTTTGACAAAACATTTACGAAGAAGTCTATTTCCTGTGTTGTTGTCAAAATGTCGTGTTGTCAGTAATTTTAAGAGAAGTTCATTTGACCTGGTGACCTGGTGACCTGGTTCCACCTAAAATATATTTTTTGTCTGATTTACGCTCATTGACGATGAAGTCTCAACAAAACATATACGATGAAATCTATTTCCTGTGTTGTTGTCAAAATGTCTTGTTGTCAGTAATTTTAAGAGAAGTTCATTTGACCGAGGCACATAGGCACATAGGCACACCTAAATATATTTTTGCTGGAAAAATGACCAAATTTCATGATATAACTGTATTTTTTTTACGAAGAGAACTTTTGCACTTCGTCAAAAAAATGACGTTTACCATATACTACGCTTATGAAAATCGTGAAATTTTTACGAAGTGAACTTTTGCACTTCGTCAAAAAAATAGCGTTTACCATATACTACGCTTATGAAAATCGTGAAATTTTTACGAAGAGAACTTTTGCACTTCGTCAAAAAAATGACGTTTACCATATACTACGCTTATGAAAATCGTGAAATTTTTACGAAGTGAACTTTAACACTTCGTAAAAAAAATAGCGTTTACCATATACTACGCTTATGAAAATCGTGAATTTCCTCAAGATAGAAAAAATAAAAAACTAACGCTAGTTTTTTTAAAATATTTTTTTTATTTTGTATGTAAGAACAGGAAATGACAAACATTGAGTTTGAAACAGTTAAAAAGATAGACAATGAGACCAAAGTGGTTAGAATTGGTGATTTAAACGTAAGATACTCAAAGAAATACAACAAATATTCTTTGTCAGACATTTTAACACTATCTGAAAAGAAAACATCCCACGACTGGGTTAGAAATGCTTCTACTCAGAAAATTTTGACAAAAAATCCTGAGCTTATGATATCGGTAAGATTCTATGGAACAAGAACATATCTTATAGACAAAAGTCTTATACCAATAGTTTTGTTCTGGATTGACCCAGTTGTTGGATATAATTTCATAACATATGGTTCATTCGATACGGAACGTTGCAGTGAAGGCTTACTTTATATCGTTCAGAAACCGAAGGACTTCAATACAAAGAGATATAAGATAGGAAGAACATTTAATATAACTCAAAGATATGACAGTATAGTCAATAGAGTTAAGGTTGCGTTTGTTAACGATATGAGAGCTGCTGAAACAGAACTGCTTGAAAAGTTTGAGAAAATGTATGGTGCTCCCACGAAAGGTAAAGAAACGTTTGAAGTAGATGAGATAGCTAAAGCTATAAAATTATTTGACGAAGTTGCTGAAAAATACATGTAAAGCGTTTATTTTTCAAGCTTGACACCAAAGATGGCTCAGGTAGCTCTATAAGGTAAATTGTCTTGTCCGAGTCCTTCTGGCATTCCGAGTCCTTCCTTCCAACAGGAAAAGTCCTTCCTTCCAACAGGAAAAGTTTTTCTTTCCAACAGGAAAAGTTTTTCTTTCCAACAGGAAAAGTTTTTCTTTCCAACAGGAAAAGTCCTTCCTTCCAACAGGAAGAACTCTTCCTTCCAACAGGAAAAATTTTTCTTTCCAACAGGAAAAGTTTTTCTTTCCGACAGGAAAAATTTTTTCTTTTGTCCGTCGTAAACCATTCAAATTTTCGAAAATTGAGAACTTTTTGGCCGACCTTCAGGAAAAGTTCTTCCTTCCAACAGGAAAAATTTTTCTTTCCAACAGGAAAAGTCCTTCCTTCCAACAGGAAAAATTTTTCTTTCCAACAGGAAAATCCTTCCAACTGAAGAACTCTTCCTTCCGACAGGAAAAAATTTCTTGACAACTGGAAGAACTCTTCCTTCCGACAGGAACAAACGGATGGCTGACGTACCACCAACCGAGTCCATTCCAAAGCCAGAAGAACCGACAGCCCAGCACCACAACAGACAAGACCAAACACTTACATTTTTTACGCTTGACTTTTTACAATTTGAACTTTGTTCGCGTAATATGAATTCTGAAAGAAGTATGAGTCTTGTATGACTTTGTACTTCTCCATAGTTCATGTCTGTCAAACTTACCTGCCATGACTCTTTCAAGTTCCATGAAATCGTCTTCGGACAATCCGGGGAAAGTACAATGTCAGTAAGTATTCTCTTTACATCCTTACTTAAACTCTTGGCTGTCTGTACACAAATGACAACAGAGATGTTAAAGTCTGAGCTTCTTAAGAATTCGACACATGTCTTGTTCTCTATTCTTTAACAAAGGATGAGAGGCGAAATCATCTAAGATAAGAAGACATCTGTGAGGGTAAGTCTTCCAATCGTAAGATTGCAATTTCTTCGAAATGTATTCTATCTCTTTCTGTTTGTTTCTGAAGTGTTTCTTCTCTAATATTCTCTGCATTTCCTCATTTGGGTCTTTAAACTTCGAATTGACATACTCATTTATAGCATTGTACTTCAAAACTCTTCTTTGGTACTTCTTTATCCAATCCAACAACTCAGAGTCTTTTATACATACTAGTTTTGACTTTTTTATAATATCTTTGAACGAATTGACGGTTTGGTCAAATTGACCCGAAGTACTACAAATGACTACTAACTCATAGAATGGGTTCTTCTCATCTAGTTCTTGTTGTTGTGCAGCCATTTTAAGATAAGTGAAAGTCTTACCCGACCCAGGTGGTGCAATTAGACCTGTTATACCATTCTGAGCAAATAAGAACTTGTCATGTATGGGTTTTATCTGAGCATTTTCCAACTTCCTCTTGTTCTTATTTAAAACATTCTCAAATTTTTTGTCAATGTCAGCAAACTTTTTTTCTAACATATTTTTAGAAAAATTAAAATTTTTATCTTTTAGAAAATGTCTAGCGATTTCGCTATCTATATTCGAGACAAGCTTTTCGACAGCAAAACATCTGTCGACCATAAAATCTTACATAGTGTAAACAAGAAAGGTGAATTTGTTCTAAAGTTCTGTTTCTGGGAATATGACAAGAACCATAAAACATTAAGCAGAGAAGTCTTAAAATTTGTCAATGACAGACTTGTTGACAAAGATGACGCCTCTTGGAGAGATGAAGTCCAACAAAACTTCTTAGAATGCAAAGAAGACACATGCACTGTTCTTGAAGATGAAATAGAAAACAGAATAGAAGAGCTATTAAAGGACAAAGAACTTTTACATAAATATGGTTGCGCCAAATTTGACATAACTCCACCAGAAAAGAAGAAGAGAGAAAAGAAAGAAAAGAAAGTAGAAGAAGAGAAGAAAGAACCTGAACCAGTTCCAGAGAAAAAGAAATTTGACATGTAAAAATAAAATTTTATTTTTAGAACATTTCTGGGTCAATGTCAATGTTCTCTTCCTCTTTAGGAGTAAACACTGGCTTAGACTCTAAAATCTTTTTACCCAATTTACCTTGAACTTCTACAACTTTAGACTCATAATATTCATAGTCGTCTGCTTTCTTTGGTTCATAAGGTATAACAAGTTTGTATGCTTTGCCTTCTTTAAGGTTTGAGAACCTTCTGTCAAAACTTTCTTTGACTGTTAACAAACCTTCTATGTCTAAGTCTTCAAATTTCGCACCATTTTTAGTCACAATAGCAAACTTAACCGGTTCGATGTTCCAAACTTTGTCATATGTAGACTTTTCAAAATGGTAGAAGTAAACATTCAAATATGTGAATGGGTCTAGTTCTTCTTTAAGTCCTGACATGTACTTGTTTACTGAGATGAATTTTGCCATCTTTTCTATCGGATAAAAAAAATATTTTTTTTTAAAATTTACTCAGAAAAATTTTTCTTTGTATATACACCATTCTGTACGTCTAAAAGACTTTTGACATTTGCCAAGAATGTTCGTTTAGACGCTGTCATATAACCATACTCTTGACAATACTGTTTATACGAATCGTACAATGACCTTTCATCTAAACACTCAAAGTCAGTTTCATCTATGAACAGTTCATATACACTCTTGTTTGCTTCTAACAATGTTTGTCTCTCTTCGGTATGTGGAATTTGTCTTGGATTGAACTTAGAAATATCTAATGTCATGAAATATGAGAACAAGTGGTTGTAAAAGTCAGATGTCAAAGTTTCTGCTAAGTCGTCAAAATATTCTGTATCTTGCATATGAGAATCTGACGTTCTGACAACTACATATCTTCTGTCAGAACTTTCTAACTTCATCGGAACAGCATTGTTTGAAACCATGACGAAGTTTGCAACATTTTCACAAACTCTTTGGTCTTTATATTTTCTTTCAACAACTCCAACTTTGTCTGTTATAAGACTCTTCAAAGCATCTGAGTTCAAAACTTTTGTTGTATCTATACTTTGAAGTTCGTTACATACTATAAGTTTCATATTCTCTATTGAAGAGTTAAATTTACCGCAGATGTTTTCTAAGTTTGTCATATTAGGGTTCGAATAGCCCTCTAACAGTTTGCATAAGATATCTGTAAAGAAAGTGTTCTTACCTGTTCCTTGTTTTCCAATTATGATGAGAGCAGTTTCATTTTTAGCACTTGGATGTTGTAAGATGTTTGCAAACCAACATAAGATATACTCATAGACTCTTTCGTTTCCATTGCATATAATTTCTTTGACATGGTCTAACCAAGCTTCTATAACATTTTCTTTCCATTCTACTTGTTCGTATTTATATCCAGTGAAGATAGAATAGAAGTTTGGAGAAGGTGTATAAAACTTTATACCACGAACTGAAAAATCTTCTAACTTTGACAATAAGATATCCCAAGCATCTAACATCTTCATACCAACTTGTACGACTTTTATTTTCTTAAGTTTCTGTCTACATTCTTGTTCTGAAACTATTGTCGCTCTTGGTTTGTTAAAGACAACATCCCATTCTTTCATGACATAACATTCTGGGGCAGAGTCGACATAAATGACTAAACGTTTCAAATTCTCGACTGCTTTGTTATAGTCTCTAAATGGACACATATTTCTGAAGCTTGGAAGTCATAAAAATCTGAAACATCTATTCTGTACATTTTTATAAAAATAAAAAAAATATTTTTTTTATTCTTGACTTTTGTTGCATTTGTTCCATTTGTTGCATTTGTTGTTCTTGAGCTATTTGTTGTTGAAGTTGTTCTTGTAGTACAATACTTTCACCAGTTGCATCTTCCAATTCGAAACTTTCTGCCGTCATTGACAAATACATAGGACATAAAAGTTTTACAGGAACAAAGTTTGCGTCAACTAAGGTTAAGTTTATGTTTGCTAAAGTGTTTGAGTTTACTAAAGCTGAAAACTCTGCATTCGAATGAACAATAGGCAAACCAGCAGAGAATGTGTTGTTTATACGCATGAGTATCTTTTGGTCATAGTAGTTTCTGTCGACATTCGAATAGCACTTTGAACCTAAGTTTGAAACAATATATAAAATAGGTGTACTTAAAGTCAATGGAATAGATAGACCTTGTATGACACCTTTTCCTGTTATAGGAAACTGTTGGTAGTAAAAACCAGATATAAGTTTTGTATTATAGCTCATATTGTTTATAGTAAACTCAGTCGGACATCCAAACATAATGAAACCTGCTCTAGTTGCAGCACATGTTACATCCGTCCTTAAAGTATTAAATAAGTCAACAAAACCTGTTGGTGGTATATCTGAGTAAGTATCTTCAAAGAAGTATTTTTTACCATTCACAACAACAAAGTCTTCTGGTGTCAAAAGAGCAAAACAGGCTTTAGTCGTCATTGTGTTTAAGGTTAGTTTACAATATCGTCCTTGAGGACTTTGTAAGTTTGTTGTTATAGAATTATATGACTCAGGGTTTTTAGTCGTAATAGTATAAACCACTATGTCTTCTGCCATTTACTTAGCAACTAAATTTTAATGAAATGTTGTGGTCGTCAAATATTTTTATAACGTCTGGGAAACTATATTTTAAGTTCAACGTCTCACCTCCTTTCATAACGTATATCTTGTCAATGACATTATATGAAACACCACAGCAAGCAATGTCGGGTTCTATTTCTTTGATGTTTATATCGTCTGCCTCTGTCAAAAGTTTCAATAGTTCTTTCAAAACTTCATGAGGTGCAATGACATATGAGTTCACTTTTACAGGGTTGTGTTCGACCAAGTTTAACATTATACCTAAAGCTTGACAAATCTTCTCCTGAGTTTTAAGTTTGTCTTTAAGTTGTTGGTAGTCATTTCGAATATCTGCAACAGAACTTAAGTCTCTGCTAACTTCAGGATATGTTGGTTGTTCTTTTACAGGAACAATTGTTATACCATCTTCGTCCTCGTATGGTTTCCCCACTTCAACATCTCTTTCTTTGACATTGACAACAACACTTTGAGTGTTTGTTTGAGTTGGTGAATTTAACTTCACATCTGCCACCGCCATTAAACCTTTTGAAACACTTACGCTTCTATTTTTCGGAAATGACATTTTACTTAGAATAAAAAGATGGACGTATTTGAGTATCTCTTCGAATTGAAGCAAAACAAAGTTTACACACACAAACAATACAAATACATTGACAGAATAGTTCTTTACACAAACAATGGAAAATGTTATAGAATAGCAGTCTTTGCTGAACCAAAATATTTTCATAAAGCAAAGAAAGTTGGTATAACTGAAATGGTGAAAGTTCTTGAAGCAGACAAAAATATAACAACAAAACTTACAGATATTTCTAAAGGTAAGTTTATCTTACAATTTTATGTCAAAACTGGCGTACTGTCAATATTTGACGGAGAGAAGTCAGTTCAAGAACAACTTACTGACCTGCTGCCAAAATCTGCTCGATGGAAGCTGTCGTTATGCCAATCTGAGGAGCCCCAGCAGGTTTCATCGAACGAATCTTCAAAAGAGCATCTTCCGTGAAAAGTGCTATTGGTTTTGTAAACTTCTTTGCTTTCAATTCATCTGGACCGTCTCTGTCACCAGTATATTGTATTTGAACTGTACCAACAGTTGAAATACCACCCATAAAGTCTTCTGAGTCAGCAAATGGAATGCCAAGCCAAAAGTTTGAACGGTCTCCATTTGTATATTGAGTTTTTTGACCTCCTGCATGAGTCCATACTTTCACATATGGCATAATAGAACTTTGCATTTCAGGGTTAATGGTTGTTGTGAAGTTGTTGTTAAAGTTCATAGCATCTAATGTCAAGTTGTATGACCTCATATCCTCAACTGTAGAATATTCTTCTCTTGGATAATATTTGCCATCTATGTTTATATGATATTTAATACCGGGGTTGTAGAAACAAGAATAGTCATTTATAGTTCGTCTGAACAGTACAAACATAGTATCTGCATGTTTCATTGCAGTTGTTAAAGCAATATCTGTTCTTGCACCTGGGTCAGCACTTTGGTTTCCAACTTCACCTGCAAAGTCTTTGACAGATATTTGGTGTATAGGGAACATAAGTGGAACTGCAATATATTTGGCAGCTAAAGCATTTGAAATATCTGGGTCCAACATATAGACTGCAAGTCTGCTTTCTATTCTCTTGCATTCAAACTTTTCGCATGTGAACTTAACTGGGTCCCAAGCATCTCCAGCAGCATTGAAATAATAGTTTACTTCAGTGTTGAGGTTTGAGAAACCAAAGTCTAAGTCAACTTTGTCTTTGCAAAAGTCGGCGAATGACGTTTTATTTGTTCCACTACTTCTGTAAGAGTGAATGGGTCTTGTGTTGGTGCAATGACTAAGTTATTTTTGCTTGGAGTAAGTTCGATAGAAATTTTTCCTGCCCAGTTTGGCAAGTATCTTAAAAACCTGAAGATGAGGAAAGATGACAAAGGGACTCTAAGTTTCAGTTT